AAATGTTTTGAGAATGATGATGGCAACAAATGTACAAATGTGCTTTACACAATGAATGGATGGAAGGATTGTGATAAGAGCTGTAAGCGCGCCCAATAAAATGATTTTTAAAAGGAGGGGGCGGTTCCTTTGTTTTCAGTTTGCACCGGGCCTGGCAAATTATGTAGCTAGTCCTATAAAATTAATATTTTACAGGGTGCCAGTGATAAAGTGCTCATCTGCTAACAGAAGGGCAGGCGATTAACTCACCCGCTGCTTCTTGGGGAAAAGATAGGGCTTCAAAGGTTGACAGTGTAGGGAACACTAAGGGCTGTCCTGCTGTGTTCTCCAGGGGAGCTGTGAGAAGGCCTACTTCCCTTTCACCTTATACTGTACATCAAAAATCAAAACCATTTTGCAATGGAAGCAATTCCCCCTCAAGCCTCATAGCCACCTTGTCAGGGTTTCCAAGGTGGAGGCTGTAGATCTTCATTAGAACACACTTATTTTTCTCCCCCAGAGGCAGGGGTGTGAACTGCCAACCACGCAGTTAGCTGTTCAACATGTAATCTCCAGAGTCCTCTAGTACAGGGGTTGTTCCGGTCTCAGCTGCATAACAAAAGGTCCAAGGGCAAGCCCCCCAGCCCCCAGAGAGTCTGTTTCTGTAAAGATCGAGTAAACTCAGGTCTGGAACGATGCTGGCTGATGGCAGCCAAATGGAAGGGGCAGGTGGGTTTGAACCGCAGACCTTACAGTTAAGTCAGTCCAACGGTTTACCCGACAGCAGCCTTGGAAATCCAATGACGCAGTTCTCTAGTCTCCGAAAGGGTCGCTAAGAATGCCAATCGACGGCACTGCGGCGGGTTGTTCGGGTTCTTGGTCTTTTGAGTTTAATTTCTACGGCGACTGTCACGTAGTGGATTCCAAGCGCCCGCCGTTCAGTTAGCTGCCCAAGTCCCTCTACTCAATACCGAACCGAACTCTCTGCCGCCGAGTCGATCCCGACCCAGTGGGTTTTCGAGACTGGAACTCTGCGGGAGGACAAAGGCACTCCATCCTCCCGCGGAGCGGCCGGTGGTTTCCACCTACACATCTGTGGCTGGGGTCAGCCAGCCCAACGAGGGACACCATCGCCGCCGAGGTCCTGACGAGGGGCTGAAGTCTTCCCTTCCGGGCCAAGAGCTTGTAAGAAACAGGCATCAGTTGGACGAAGGGGATTTTTTGGCGGTGTGCTCCAATTATAATGTGGGGTGGGGGTGGGGGCGGGGATTTGGGCAGCTAGCCGTAATGATGGAGTTCGGCGTGAGGGATACAATATCGGCTTCCCGGTTTGGGGCTTAGACAAGGCGGAAAAGAGCGGGAAAATTAAGTGCCAGAGAAAGAAAGGGCGGGTTGGAGTTAAAGGAAGAGGCGGCGCGAGAAGCCAATGAATGAGAGCGAGGCTGCGGTGGCGCGAGCCCCAGCCGCCTGCGTGCGCAGGCGCACGCCCCGCGATCTCGCGGGAAAGAGCGGTTGCCGGCCGGCGCTGCGCGGGGGCGGGGCGGGGAGGCGGCGGGAGCGAAGTCTCGCGAGAAGCGTCGGTGGCTGTAGCGGAGCCCTTCGGCTGCGTGTGTGAGGAGCCGCCGCAGGACGTGCGGACGGTTTGCGGAGCCCGTTAGTGCCCCCGGCTGAGAGTCACCCCGCCGATATGTCCCGCTACCTGCGCCCCCCCAACACGTCTCTGTTCGTGAGGAACGTGGCTGACGACACCAGGTATGTGCGGCGGAGGGGCGCCGGG